GCGGACAATTTGAATCATATTTCCGACAACGAAGAGTCAGAATGGCTGGCAAATATAGGTCAAAGTTTATTAGCTAAATCGAACGAAGAAAAACAGCTTGACGACCAGAAAATTTCTTCATTTATTGAAGAAAATAGAAACAGCAACACGACAACGCGCCAATTCCGTTCCGCTTCGCATACTTCTGTCACGCACTTCCCGTAAATAAATATTCGCGAAATTCGCCCGCACTGAGATAACAGTTTGGCGTGTTGGATAATAAATAGCTTATTAGACGTTTTGTTGTGAAGTATCGCTGAGTATTTTTACTCGTTATTTGTATTTTGACTCGCCCTACAGGCTCGTAAAAAATACTCAGCGATACTACGCAACTAAACGTCTAATAAGATATATGTATTTAACGGAAAATTTAGCACTTATTATTTGCTAAATGCACGATGGGATCTGTTCGCATTTGTCAAACCACATAAATGCTAGTCGGTTCAGTCACCTTTTTTTTTGTGTTTTAACTAAAACCGTATTCTACACAGGCTGGCTGATGATGAGATAATTATTACCGACTCAGCGCTTCAAGCCGCGTTGGTTAGTTATCATCTCACATTAGGCGCGCCCTTGCAGAGCAGTTGTTACATATTTTAAATCAAGTAACCAAGCGCATATATCTGTACCTTGAAACTGCCATTTTCATAAAAAGCTCTTCGGTAAATAATAGTTGGTGCATCACTCTCCGGTAGTTTTCTTGTGTTAGGTCTCCGTTAGTTATTTGCACAGTAACAATATTCTCAATCCTTTCAGGCAGCTGGTAACGTTTCAGCAACTCTTCATCTGTTCCGGCGTTCTCTGTTGGTCTGATTACGTCCACTGATCCCTCCTTCCATATGGTTGGACTCAATTTGAGCTTTTTTCTGTGCTCTGAGATTTTCTTTAAGTCATCCTCTCTTGCTATGTCTACGTTTAATCCTTGCAATAAGTGCGGCTTTTTTCCAAAGTCAAACTTAAGGCATTGTGGAAACGTTTGATCGGACGTTGTGGTATCAAATGAAACGGTGACAACAACTTTCATTTGGCCCTCTTTCTTCTCTGGATAACTGGGAAGCGTGAAAGACCAACGCTCTTTAGGCGTTGAATGAAATATTTCCTTATCTTCAAGAAAGCCTTTAACGTCAGCAAGTCGATAACACTCGTGGTACTGATGAAGAAGGTCAATTTGGCGCAGCCTCCCAACCTCACCAATCTGAGTTTGTTAGTGACAGAATTTTGTTAACTAAGTAACCAAATATAAACGAACATCCAAATAAACAAAAACCCATAATAAGACAAACGTATTTTAGATTTTGAAGTAAAATAACTGATAAACCGGTAAATCCATAAAAAAATTGAAGCATATTGTATCTGGTTTACTTTCATTTCATAAAAGCAGTAGAAAGCACTTTTATCAATTTAAAGGCGTAATAGCCAATGCGGAATACTCAGAGCAAACGCGAAAAGTTTGTAAATCACTTGAATACCTTCGCAGGAAACAAATGGAATTTTTGATCAGGGCACCTTTGTCAAATGGTTCTATAAAAAGCACGACAACAAGCAGATCTTTTTGCTGCAGAAACTGGTCGGAAATAGTCTGCTCCTAACGTTAAGTAGAATGCAATGTTCACGGAGTGTGTTTAACCGAATTGGATATATTGCCTTGAATTAACTCATCAAGTTTGTTAGATGACTTTGTGGCATGGTTGGCATACTACTAAGAAGAAGGATTTTACTGATTTACCTTGAATGTTACGTTGAAGACCCAATCAAATGTGTAGTTGACGTCATCGTCATCACTTGGGTTTATCTTAACCACACAGGGTTTATCACATGAGACTGTGACACCGGGGAGACTGTAAGCCATCTACCAAAGAACCCAAAATAGCATTTGAATCATGAGAAGACAGATGTTAATAGGAAGGATTCGAGTTTCCAATTTGTTTAAAACAAAAACCTTATAAGACAGTGATTGAATGATAAAGCTTCTGTCTCAATATTTCTTTCACTTTCTTCAGTTTCTTGGAGTCATTTCTAACGATTCAGTAGTTATTGTAAATAAGCAAAGGACAAATGCATTTCATTTAGGGGGTTGCTCTTCCTTATCTACTGTAATGTGGCTGCTGCTGCTTTTCAGACATGAAAGTGAATGATGATGATGACAATGATGTTGGTAATGATATCAGTGATTGTGATAATGACAATGACAACATTGGTTAGTCTTTCCTCCTTGCCAAACAACTCATTTACGTTGCTGGTTTAATTGCATTGCTCTTCGCACCTCGCTTCTTGTCAGGACTTTATTCCTTTTTCCCCTTTCACTATCAAGTCCTTCCTCGCAGTCATTTTGCTTGTCCTCATTCTTAGATTCCTTCCATGATTTAAGTTCCTCGTTGCCATGAGCATAAGGACAAGATATTCCATTCCTGCATATTCGACGAGACTTCCACCTTTATAGAATTTAAAGAAACGTCATTAGAGAAAGTATTAGAGCAACACCGTCCTGGCGCTAGTCCTTATGCATCTGCGGTGAGTACACAGCATTTAATCTGCTTTATACTATACATTTCTCTAAAGTTGGTGGTCATCTCTAGAAAAAAACAGCACTATCATAAAGGAGGCCTTAACTAAAATAATATAAAAGGAAAAGGCGAGGCCTTTAAAGAACGCTTGATGGAAGCTGAGATAGTTAGTGCCTTCAATTTGCGCTACAGAAGCAAAGGGCTGTTCTGAGATCGAAATTCGAAGGACCGATAATCGTTGACCTTGAACATGCAACAAATGTCCATTGCTTCTCACGATCTATGATTCAAATTTCTTTGAGAATAATTTTAGGATTAATTTACCATTTACACAACTGAATCTTCCCTTGATGAACACCCACTGGAGGAGGCCTTGGCTTAGTGGCTATTAATTCGGGACTGATGAACGATCCCAAAGTGAGTTCCTGAGGCCTAGGAAATTTTTCAAGGTAATCTTTCTTTTCCAGCCTTTCGCTCTTAGACGTCCTTAGACGGGAAACGTTATCTGAAAAGAAAGTATAAAGTTAATTCCAGCAATCAAGTGATATGCAAAATACATTCTCATGGCATAGTTACCTCAGAAATTGAAATCAAAAGCTCTGTGAGCTAACTCGTATCATATATTATAAAAAACTGGATCATTGGATAGTGCAATTCAAGACTTTTTATTGGCTTAGCCATTATGGTATATGAGCCAATATACCATAATCTGATATCTGTACATTGTAACATCCGGTTTCTTCCTACAAAATAAAGTCGAGAATATTTGCCTAATATCTTGAGGGCCTTTTTTTTTTAATAAAACAGTTATTCCACTCGCGCTTGTTGGATAATTGTTAATTGTCTGATTGATGAGAGATCAGGTGGGCCATATAAAGTTTCTTAAACCTGTTAAATGTATTTATTTTTTCCAATGCCAAGGGGACAGTTTCCCATATAACAGAAGCAGAGTACTTAAAAGTAAATTTGCCTTTGTTTGTTCTGACTTGTGGTCGGTGGAAATTAAGTTTGGCGGATTGTCTGGTGTTATAGGAGTGGACAGCTGTTATAGGTATTAAAAAATTATGGAAAATTGCAGGAATAGTTGTTGGATTGTTATATAGTTTAAATGCAAGTAGGCGGATTTTGAATCTCACAACATTTTCAAATTTTAAAATTTCAAGGATTTGGTAGTAAGGGGAAGAGGGTTCCCGTTTGTTTGCAAAAAAGATACTTCGGATGCATTTATTTTGTTTAGTACTGATCTTCTATAAATTAGTCTGATAAGTGTGGCTCCAACACATTGCACCATAATTAAGATAAGGGTAAATAAGTGCATAATACAGTTGTCTTAGCATCTTTAAATTTAGGTAATTCCGCAATTGGTAGAAGATTCCAAGGTTTTTTAGTCAGTTTGCTTTGTACATGCGCTATTTAAGTTTTCCAATTCAAATGTTCATCTAAATGCCTAAATATTTGATACTAGCTTTACGATCAATGTTTGAAATATTAATATTGTGTATAGTTGGCTTCTGTGGAGCTGTTATTATCATAAAGTTTGTTTTCTTCATGTTGATAGACATAAGATTATATATGCATAAGATTATCAAAATGTTGCCTCCTTTTTATGCTTATACTGTCTAGTTAAGATTTGTTTGGCATAAGCGTAAGGATAAGCATAAGCAAAATACTTTCAGGCAATCAGTAAGCACTATACTACTTATACCAACCATGTCCCTATTTAACATAACATCGACTGAGCGCTTGTGCTCAGGTTTATGTGGCAGCTGTGCCCACCTGCGCGTTAGCTTGTTATATTTATGCTTATGCTTGTGTTGCAACTGAGTACCACGCTTGAAGCCTGTTTCGCACTTCTGAGATAATTATTAGCACGAGGATGAAAACAAATACAAGGATGTTCACACTAATAACATACGCATACACAGTACGAGTTACACCATTGAAGAAACAGCATATCGATTGATTGAACTTATGCTTGAGCTTATTTCATTGCAGTTCGCACTTGTGAACCACTTTCAAACGTCGATACAGCTCCAGGAATACCAAAAAAGCCTCATACAAGTCACTTTACGAGCGGTTGGCCGTGAGCGACAATTCAATATCGGACTATCGGCGAGCAGCGACTCGAGTCGTCTGAGCCCGCGGTTGAAATAACCAAAAGATCAGCGTTTTAAATGTAAAATTAATATTTAGATAAAGTTTTATGAAAATGTAGTGTTGTGCCTGAGTGGCCTTCCGGTAAAAAGCAATACGGTAGATAACGTTCTCAGGGAAGCGACGTAGGTGGTTCAAATCTGCCGCACTCGAGTAAAACTTGCGTTTTGCTAGACTTCCTTTCTTTGTTTTCTTTTTCGAACACAATAATCATTTTTCTGGATATATACATTCAAAAATAGAAGTATTGCCGCGATAAATGAAATATACGCTGCAAGAGAAAAAGGTGTATTCGGAGATTGGGCAAACTTTAATTCACAAATGAAAAACCTATACTTTTTTACTCTTTCAAGATTATCATTGGCTTCTTTTTCACCCCAACACTATTCTTAGGAACAAAGGTCGCCATTTCGTTTGGTTATCACTCGCCGAAAACTATCAAATGCATTCAAAAGTCTAAAATAGAAAAAAGGTTGCAGGAATCGACCAACCGAGCGATCCTACAACTCGCTCTTGGGCATGCACGCAATTCACGAGTTAAAAAGGATGATAGATAAAGAAATCGATATCATTATCTAACTGTGCTTCGTAGGGCACAAATAACGCCCAAAACGGGTACAAATATCATGCGGTATTTGTACTCCAGAGAACTGGTTCGCCGGGTTTTCTCGCATTGCGCGAGCGACGAATTGGATTGAAATTACGAAAAAATGGCGGACAATTTAAATGATTTTTCTGACGACAAAGAGTCAGAATGGCCAGCGAATAGTTAAATCGAACGGAGAAGTGCAGTTAGACGACAATGAAATTTCATCATTTATTGAAGAAAATACCGCGCCAATTCCGTTCCGCTTTGCACACTTCTGCCGCGCACTCCCCGTAAATAAACATCCGCGAAATTCGCCCCCACTGAAATACCAATTTGGCGTGTTGAATAATAGATCCCTTATTAAATGTTTTGTTGTGTAGTATCGCTGAGTGATTTCACTCGTTATTTGTATTTTGACCGGCTCTCAAGGCTCGTCAAAATACGGCCAGCAAAACTCGCAAAAATACTCAGCGATACTACACAACAAAACGTTTAATAAGATGTATTCACGAACTGAATGAATTGTTAGATTGAAATTGACAAAGTTTACATTTGGATGAACTCACCGCACTGTCTCGCAGATATTTTCGGCTTCGTCTGATTTTTGCTTTTGACAGATAAGGACGGAAAATGCCAGTCCCGGTCAAAAGTCTCTTTAGCATTCGATTGACTGCCGTATTTTTTACAACCCTCCTTGTTTGGCTCTTGAGGAATGCTTTTAGTGACATATTTGCGATGATCGACGTCTCCCTCCTTGGTCTGCACCAATAACCTTCTTTCCTTTAAAAGACTGGAATCCTCCTCCTGTTCAATTTTACCATCCTTATCCTTGGGTCTTCTGGATCTGTCTATCAATTTCCGTCGTTTTGGTATTGCACCTGATGCAACATCCGCTGTGGAGATCGAGTAAATAAACATATTCAGCTTTGTAGCACATTCTCTGAGGCTGTCGAAGACTTGCAACTCGCAACAATACACTTCCAATTATTACAAGTCTGATACTGGTAGATACATCGTTGAAATATGATGCATAGTAATGACTATTTATAAAAACAACAACAACAAGACCAAAATAGATATTTTTTAGTGAGACAACGAATTTCTGCAATCCCTGATAGTTTGCTATTGTCTCATTTCACAAGTTTTATTAATAGGATGTTAAATTGTAACTGATGTAATCGTAACTGGGTAGACCTCGTGTTTCAGCTTCTTTATCGCTTTTCTCCATTTTGGAGCTTGTCACTCCCGTGTTGGGCAGAAAAATTGAAATGAAATCAGAATTTAACGCAAATCGAGCTTATTGTAAGTGGAAAGGATGCAGCTGTCGATCCCAGTTATCTATCGAGGTTTCATAATAACAGGAGCGCCAGGATTACCACGCGAATAAGAATAAATCAAATAAATAACTTAATAAATGAAAGCCACATGCTAATCTATCGCTTTTGAAAGGCAACAAAGTAATTGGCAGTGTTCCACTCGGATTTAGTCTTGATATCTCCTGCAGTTGGTTAGAGTACTCCACAGGTATCCGATCCTGTGCAAATCATGTTCACAGTTTACCAAAGAAACTCAAAGTGTGCCCTCAAAATTTTTAGTATTTGCGATATAAATATGTTTCAGACGTGTCTCTGGTGTTATCATATTTCTGTTTCTGGTGTTATCATATTTCTGTTTCTGAGCCAACAATTGTTTGGGTATTGGATACCTGATTCGTCATCATAATTAGGAGTTGCCTGTTCTCCATCTAACTTCTTAGGTTTCTGCAATGAAAAAATTCAATGAATTGTACATTTGTACCCACGCCCTTTGCAAGAAGACAAGTTCAGGACAAGGAGTAAGCAAAAGGCAATAGGACACATCTAACCAACCTTACATACATACATCACTATAATGATACAAGCTATAATGATGGTAAATGTGTCTTCCTAGTGGTACATGTAGATCCAATATTATAACATACATGAATAACGTTTGCATTGACTAACTCCATTCAGTTTCTAGGCGGATGCTCTATCAGGTTATAGAGGTTATAAGGGGACTGACAAGCCAGTGTTGTGAGTGCCATTATCACAATCACTATACGCAGACATTTATTTCTAAAAGCAATCAAAAGCATTTTTCTGGGCTCTGTGGCTTGAGAAAGGCACTTGGGATGTTGGGAGAACAATTGGAAAGCTCATATATCCCTCACCCTCAGCTCGTAATCTAGAAGCTTTCTTCGCGTTCTTCCAACATCCATCCGGAACAATGTGTTCCACTGCTTAATCAGCGCATCTTAAAGAAAAACTAACCTCGTCTTTCTGCTGTGCTTTACTTTCCCGATCTTTCTCAATTTTTATCTTGTAATCCTCAACCATTTGTTCCCTTTCCTATGGAAGTATTTTGATCGATTGATCAATAAATCTACCAGTAGCTTTGCCAACCATTAAGTATCTTACTTTCAGTATAGCCCATGTTTGATAAAACAATTTAGGTACATTTTTAATCATAAAAGCGGAGCGCATAATCATGTACACCGGCAACGGTTTTACGCTCCATAAGAAGAACAATTGTGATGCAGATCTAGCGGAGAACTACTTGCTTTTATTTTCCTGTAGTCTTCGTTTTTCTTCTGCTTACTGCTCTTGACCTGCATAACAAAGAAACATGACATTTGTTAGTTGTCCTTAATTAACTAGAGATCACATTTGATAACTGGGGCTGTTCTTAAGGTACTTCTAAGAACACAGATCATTTTCCTCATAGCTTCTGGCATATTTCAATTTTTGAGCGAGAGAGAAAAAACTACGAACTCGATGCAATGACTGAGCTCTCGAAATTGTATATGGAGGTGCATGAAACGTACCGATTTCTTTACAGGAATATCCGTTTCAGGTGCTGAAGCGTCTATTTTCTGAAAAGAAAGTATACTTTAGAGTGAGATGTCACGACTGATCATTAGTCGACCAATTGCGCGATCACAGAAAGAAATCTCTTATTCATGAGAGCTAGGAGTAGTAGTACAGTCGTATGGGCCAGAATATATTTAATCTAATCTACTTTTACAGCTCCAAGTGCTTCTTTCAGACTTGGTCAAGTGTGTGTTCTATAATTTCATTTGTTGCAATTTTAAATGAAATGAACTTGATAATTATCCGATATATTGGTCTTTCTTTAAAATATTTGTTACGAAAGGGCGGGTATCTCTTGAAAGCGATAGCTAGCTGTTGGTGAGATATTATGTATATCAACCTGAGGAAAGACCGTAGTTTACAAAGCTTTTCTCTTACAAACTTAAACTCTTATGAAGTAGAGGTAATAGTGAGGGCACTTTAAAGGCCGCGTCCGGAACTGTTTTTTAAATAAAGGTCAAAACAAACAAGAAGCTTAGTCTTACTATCGCCACTTCAACTTGTCCCTCGTCATTCTGGTTCCTGTAAATGATTGACAATGGCGTAACAATGAAGAAATAATCGAACAAAAAAACACATCATTATTCAGAAAGCAAACATAATGATAGGCAAATAGGCATATAGAAACTGACTGGGAACAGGCGGTACAAACAGACTTACCGACTGTTTGACTGACTGAATGAAGAAATGAACGAAAACAATGTATAAAAGAGTGAACGGATGAATGGAAGAATAGATAAATAAATGAAGGAGGGAATGAATGAATTGATGGATGAATGATTGGTTGGATAGAGGAATGGATATAGATGGGAAGCAACTTTGATTTGGCAAAATATTACACCGAATTGCACTTTAATTTGTACTTCCTAAATGCTGCAAATTACAACAACTAAGCGTCTTAATCGTTGAAAAGTTTCTATCATTAAAAGTACAAATAATCTTCAATGGAATAAGGGAAATTATCTTAAAGCGCTTTGCTAGAAGGCAGTGGAGAGATTAAGAGATTCGTGTTTCTTAACAAGAGCTAGCTTTGATAGACTTTTTCCATTTCGTTTGTTTTCAAAATTCTCGCCGGTGGTAGTATGCATGCTGAGAAACCAGTAAAACAAGATTTTCCATTATATTCTATAGTTCTAAATTGATTTCCCGATATAACCGTGAGAAAATAATAATTTTAAATAGGGATCACGCCATCCATAGTGGTGAAATTCATGAGAGCTTTTTATTTGTTTTTTCTTTCTCTGAGATTGGACTAGCCGAGTTTGAGAATTTTGATTATAATTCCTTTATGGATAGACATCTCGGAATCCTTTGCCTTCTTAACTAGTAGTAATATGTCTTATTGCTATCAACCTAGGCACTCTAAATTCGCATTCAAATCATGTTGCAGCTCAGGGATGCAGCGAGCGGTAAAGTCACATTTTGTATCATACGTACGCATTTTTGTGTTATATCGTTCGAATAATTGATGAAAATGACAGAAATAGAAATGGTCCGGAATCGAGACCTAGGGAACTCCACACTTGGAGTGGCTTTCTTGGAAAGTATTCTGTTCATACATATGATCTGACCACGAACTCCTATAAACCCTAATTTACTAAGCAGAGAAGAGTGGGTTACTAAGTCAAATGCTTTCTTTATATCAGTTTAGCATCTATAATAATGATTGATTACATCAACAAGAGCAACTATTATTGAATGGAGATGCTATCGCCAGATTGACAAGAACCTGATTTGATATCTATACTGTGCTCGAAGACTAGGACTTCAAAGACAAATGGTCGGTAAGACTGATAGTGGTCCATAATGATAATACTTATGATAATGACAATAGTAATAATACTAATACTAATAATGATAATAATAATAATAATAATAATAATAATAATAATAGTGATATTTTGAGTTGCTACGAGAGCTACGACTGGTCGAAGTCCTCCTGCATGGTATTCGCCAATCAAGCCTGGATCAGAATATGTCTCAGAGGATGTCCAAGCATTGTGGGACATACCAACTTATGGGGAGAACCAGGAACAGCAAGCTAACAGAATCGATGCAAAGATAGTGAACCATAAAAGTAAGGAAGTAGTAGTCTTGGAGATAAGTTGTCCATGGATTAAGAACAGAGGAAAGAAAGATGAAGAGAAGTCAGTAAAGTATGGTCCACTTCAATGGGAGTTACAAGAACAGTACCCTGGATATACAGTCCAGCAGCACAATATTATCATGGACGTGCTTGGGGGTTGATCAAGGACTATGGAAGAGGGATTACGGAAGTTGTTGGGAAGAAAGACAAAAGATGTGCTACGAAACATACAGAAGTGTGTAGTGTCAAGTACGTTGAACATTGCGAGGAATTTTAAGATCATAACATGAACAGTAAAACTACAAAGGAAACTTTTGAAAGGTTTAACACTATAAGAACATTATATAAGCATGAAGTTTATTCCTCGTATGAATATTAATTGGAGGGATAGTTTTAAACATTGAAGGAAATTTAAATATTGAGTTCTGTATATTAGAAGATTAATCGACTTATGTAGAGAATTTAGTTTATAAGTTTTAATAACAGTAATCTTATTCACAGAACGTGACTTAGTTGTTATGTATACTAATAATAGATTGTGAGTTAGCGATGGTATATTAGTATTAGTTGTATCTTAAATAATTTTCCATGCTAGCAAATAGGTTTTTGTATTTTTTATAAGTGCAAAGATGTGTAGTTTCATAGGTTACGCTGTGCGCCCTATGAAACTTTCTTTTCCTGGCATGCTGAAGTTCAGTAAACTGTGTCATAATAATAATAATGGGGATAACAATAATAATATGATGGATTCCATTGCTCCATGACCTACAGCCCATGGCGAGGGAGTTTGGCCAGACTGCACTGAACAGTTTACAATTTTTGAAGGAAATTTTTGCAGATGCCCCCAATTTCAGAATCAAGCCCAGACCACAACATCAGGAGGTATGTTCCCTACTCTTTTGCGATAAATGTGTAGGTGATGATTGAAGCAATTAACCTAAGTGATTTATTGCAAATTTGATAAAAACTATTTCTAGTGATCACACATAGCTTCAGCAGTAACTTCAAAATTCCGGAGGATTCAACTTCAGTAAATTTCAGTGAATTTCACACTGAACCAATGGATGAAAGTATGGGTAGGGACGGAATTAAGAAAACCAAACAAAATACGAAGAAAGAACGTAGGAACTGAACAAAGAAAAAAAAGTCCACTAGACTGACGTACAAAAAAAAATGGAGTATTCAACTCACCCCTCCTTCTCCTTATTTCTGTGTTTCTTACCATGGTCCATTGCAGCACGTCTAGGACACCACCCAAACGTCTTGCGAGTTTCTCTCTAATCAACAAGGTAAAACGATGCATTTAATTTTATAAAGATAAGAGTCACGAGACTCGAGACGCTTGTTATGAGTTGAGTTCCGTTTGGATTAATAAAGTGTTCGTTCTTCTTATTTTTACTCTAATGAAAGAAAGGATGATATGGCTGAATCATGATACCATATTTCCTCTTTGATGACGAAATTTTGTTTAATTTATGACAGAGCTTAGATTGGTCTCAAGTCGAATATATTTTTGCCTGTATACCCATATAAAACTAAAACATTTTCCTGTCCTGTGAAATGGCGTCACACGGGGCGAATCCTCGCATTTAAATTTGTTAAAGGCCTTGGTTTTGAACAGCAAAAACAACGACAAAGATTTTAGTTCTCCGTAACGTTAAATTTCTATTTAAAACCGGTTGCTCCGTTTTAAGCCTTTTTTTTTTTTGCGGTTAAAGTAAAAGAACTTCAGAAATTCTCGACTAGGATTCCACAAACTGCTCGCCAAGAAGAACAGGATGGCACGTTGTTGAAGTGACAAACGAACTGGATTTTCATTTAGATATTCAAGCGTTTCACAAGTGTTTTAAGAGGAGATCCGTACAAAAGTCAAACAAAAACGAATTTTTTTGGTAAGAGTCAAAAATTCAAATTGTCTAAAGTTTTGCATACAAGTAGCTCCTAATAAGGAAAGAGAGGCTGTGAAGTTTTTTCTCTCGAAAATTGAACATTTTCGCTCGCTTCGCATTTCAAAGATATTGCGTTTAGTGAAATCTAACTAACGTGTGCTCTTTTAGGATTCAGTAGCCACGCGAAAAAACAGTGTGCTCTCTTCAGTTCCAAAAAAATGTCGGTGAAGAAAACCTCTTTTTTCATCATGCGCCATTTTTTGGAATTCATTAGTATCCGTATGTAAATTTCGAAGGAATGATCTTCAAAATGACGTAAAGATTACTCTGGGAAAATGTTTTCTCGCGACGCAGTAAACTATTTAAAATAGCACACGGAAGACATTAAATCACGCAAGATATTGATTACGTGACCAAAAAGCTAGGGTGAATTCCTGTTTTCAAAATGACTTCAGATCGAACACCTTCTTTTGTTAAGTGACAATTTCTTTTACCATTTCAATTTTGTTTTTGCAAAGATATTTTAGTCATCGTTCTATCTAGTACGATTGTGCACTAGTGCGAGTAACGATATACGATAAAGACATGTTTAATTTTCTATTTGTGCTTACCCTTGCCTTTTAACTAGCTTTCGGTAAAAACCAACAAAGTTTTTGTAAAGAATAAGAAGATGGTAAGTTTTGAGCTCGGTAAAGAAATATAGAAAGAAGTTTTCCGTTTAGTCACGAGTATGGGACAAGGAAAAAACTCTGAGACCCAATGAGGAATCGAACCTCAGACCTTTGGACTCCATGCTCCGGTGTTCTACCACTGAGCCACAGAGACTCTATGGTGAGCAAGGCCCATTACCAAGTTCATATTTTACAACAGTTTTCATTGCGAGATTTTTGGAGGAGCTAAGTGAACCAAGTGAGGGCTCGTATCACTTAGTTACTATTAATAAGACTTAATAAGCACAATTACGTAGAAAAGATATAAGAAGTCTAAATATCTATTTAGCTCCGTCTGATTTTGCCTTTAGTTTTACCCTGTTGATTTTCTCTGCTAGAGGGGAAATACTTCTCAACTACCACAATGTCTGTTCGCTTTGCTTTGTTTTGGCAAGACAATTAAATTTACAAAACTGCAAAAAAAGTCCACGTAGCTTTTCTTAACTGTCACTGCTCTTGACAACAAGTAACCTTTCGGGGCTTCTGCCGACGAACTTCAACTTCTTTGTTCAGGCTAGGTAAAAACACTGTTGCGTGTCGACAGCACTGTAATAGAGAATTCACAACTAACAGCAGCTGCAGAGACCATCAAAACGTTGTCATCCATTCCCCATTTGCCTTACATTGGCAACCCATGGCAAGGCTTGTTGGCATACCGACATAAAGCTTCTTCCTCTTAACGGTGACCCGCGAAATATCGAGTACAAATGTCAATTTACAATTTAATTTAAAATTTTAAAAGCTGAGAATTCTTAACTAATTCACAAATACAGTAATACTTGAAAAAAATTGGATGTGCGTGCAGAATAGAAATTTCAGACGCCACTTTATTCCTCATTACTTGTTGCTGGCTTTCGTTTTTCTGCTCTGATTTACTCATCGTCATCGCTTCGGTTGACCTCTTGGTGGTCGAGACTTCGCTTCGAGGCCAGATGAGAAAAAAAAATTAGAAACTTGCCTGCTTCTAAAAAATCAAAGCTGTCAAATAGTCGCTCGACGTTTTCGTCTTTCTCAGACCTCATTACTCTTAAGACAATTGCGGCATCTGCCTTTTGTCCTGTTTGTTCACCAGTTTGAAACTTAGCTATCAAGAAGTCATTTCGCTTGTCAGTGATACGAGTATCGCGGGAACGACTCTGCCTTAGGGCCCATCCCATTTCTCGGCAGTTTCTACAGATATCTGTGCAAATGCTGAAAAAAATATGAAAACGATGACGGCAATGATAACGACAATGACAATTATAATGATACCGATGATGTTGAGGATGACAAACATGAAGAAGACGATGATGACAGCTACGATGACGACCACAATGACTTTCAGTGAAGGTCAAATTTATGTCTAATAAATAAAACTGCATTTCTTTAAAAGTAACAAGCATATGTAACAAAACAATTATTGTTTCTTTTTTTTTGGGGTGACAGGGTCTATGAAACCCTACCAGAACCTAGAGGTACAAGGATGCCGGTTCTCTGAAATATAAATTTGATATCACTCAGCTAACGCCTTTGTCTCCCTCGACATCTTTTCCTTTGCCGTGGGAAGTGATCTCATCTGGTATTCTGCAGGTGTTCTGACTCCATTGCCATCCAGCGCTAAGCTCAGAACGGTGGAATGCACAAATTGTCAAGACGTTTATATCCTTTGGACTCATGCAAAAAATACCTGCCTGGCAAGGATAAGTTCACTCTTGTTCTCGACTTCGGTGAAACACGATACACTTTTATGATCCTGCACATCCTTGTTGCACGACATCAACGAAGTCACCTCAATAAATTTATTCCTGCCTCGTCGGTCACACGAGCGAGGACTTCCAACTATAAACTTAAATGAGCAAGAAGCTTTCATTGCTTTCACTCTCGCTTTTAATAAGAAACGTCAACAAACATCACAGTTTCACTCAAGCAGAAAAAAAATAACATGAGTATAAATGGAGGAAAATTCTGAGCTAAATGAATCGGATATCTAGACTCATTATTTCTTTTCCACGTATTTGTGTCCATTAAAATAACGTCGACCTACCCCACTCTTAGGTCGTAATTATTCTGCAAAAACGGGCACGACGATATGTAGCGAAATTATGCAAATTAGATCACGCAACCCTTACTGACTCCTGCTAAGGCCTCTGTAGGATGACATTTGGTGGATTTCTGTTTACTGTAGGCTAGTTAAGAGGCACGGGTTAGCAAGTTAAACAAGAAACACAAACTTAGGATTCGTATGCGAGAGACCAGCAAAGTTCTTATCAGTACACCGTTACTCGCAACGGTGCTTAATCGATCTAGACAGACCGATGGCAAAATATCTCTGCGGAAACAAACTTCAAAGGATGAAAGGCAATGTAATGTAACGAACTGGGTATAACTATGTCATTTGTATCTAAAAGAGTTCTACTGTTCGATCGTGAGTTATTTTGAAGGCAGGAATACTCCTTAACTTTTGGTCACGCAATCAGCATATTCAGCGCTCTAAGGTGCGACCATTTTGGTCGACATGGCGAGTGAAAAAAATATTTGGCGACTAAAATTCTGGCGAAAGTCGCCAATTGGCGACCAACAGATTAAAAGAGAAACTTACTTGAAAAATTATCAACAATAGGATGAATTTAATCAATAGTACAAGCGCTGGCATCACCTGCGTTTCTCTTTTCGCCTCTCGTCGTTCAGAAGAAACTCGACTGCGTAAAAAAATGGCAAATTCGATCGATTTGAAGGGGCAATTGGCAATGTTGCACGGTCTCAGCAGCTTTGTAATGTTGAAAGAAATCATTTTTGCTACTACACAGTCTCTTCCTTTACTTTCTACTTTAAACATTTGCCCAAAGTAGACTTTATGTCATTTTAGAGATCATTCCTTCGGACATGTACATACCTAATTTAGTGGAATTACAAAACATGGCACATGGAGAAAAAAGAGATTTTCTTCCCCGACATTTATTTTTGTAACTGACGGAGGGGCACGTTTTTTCGCGTGGCTAAATCCTACTAAGCAACCAATTCCTACACAACTTACATTTTACAAAAGAGGACGAGTCTATAAAAGAGCTCACGTTGGTTAGATTATTTCCCTAAACGCAATAATGATCTTTGAAACGCGAAGCGAGCTAAAGTGTTCAATTTTCGACCTGTCATGACCCGATCCATCCATACCAGATGTTGACAGTGAAAAATTCATTTTTCTCAAAATAAAAACATATTCGAGCGGAAATAACTTCACAGCCTTTCTTGTCTTACTATGGGCTACTTGTATGCAAAAATTGAGACAATTTGAATTTTTGACCCTTGCCAAAAAAATTTCATTTTTGTTTGACTTTAGCACGGATCTCCTCTTAAGCACTTTCTGCAAATTTTAAGGACTCCATGAAAGCTTTAATCTAACTAAGGCAAAGAAACAAATTTTGGTTAAAGGAAAATAGTGTACCGCGAGTAAAAAAAATAGCTAGACGATATTTGAATCAGCTCAGTGCACACGACTCGATGTTATTGTCTTTCCATTGACTAGATTTTGCCGCTTTAATCGTGGTGCGACTAAAATAAACCACAATAGACCACATCACAACAGGTTTACCGGCTAATCACCGGCTAATCACGTTCTCCCAACATTCTTGGTGGTTGCACTTCTTGGTTTATAAACTTTTCTCGTGTTCTTCCAACATCTTACGTAGTTTGTTA